CCCCAATTTTCAAAGCATGAAATTGCAGTTCTTTTGGAGGAGGTGGAAAATAATAAAATCCAGCTATTTTCAAAGCTGAAAAACAGCATTACAAATGCTGACAAACAGAAAATCTGGGCAGAAATCACTCAAAAAATAAATGCTGCTGGCTATGGGTACGAACGAAGCCCAGAAGAAGTCAGGAATAAGTGGAGGGACTTCACAAGTGTGACAAAACGGAGGGCTATATATACAGTTTTGCCGCAGCATGTAAAAGGGAAGCAAACAAGACTGGTGGGGTTATCAATTCAGTTCCTCCTCTCACTACAGAGCAAGAGAAAGTTTGGGCCATCCTGGGGCCTGAACCATTGGAAGGGATCCTTGGAGGTATAGATGCATGTGCATCAACCAGGCCTTTGCCTTCAAAGTTCAGGCCTCCAACATCAGGCACTCTCCAGTCTGGCCCTACAACATCAGGCCTTCTGCAGCCTGGGCCTTCAAAATCACCAAAGGGTCCTTGTCTATTGCTCTCTTCCCCTGATTCACCTCCGTCTGAGGCCTCCTCATGTGCTGAGCAACGTCCTCTGACACAGAAGGCGACGCAGAAGTCAGGCAGTGTATATAAATGCCTGCATAGGGACACATTTTACCCCCCTTGACTCACTATCTGATGATGCCACCTTAAGAAAATTACGGCTTCCAAGGGCCAAGATCCTTGAACTACTACAGGTTGTGAAACCACATCTTCAGAGGGCAACAAGAAGAAACTACGCCTGAAGTCCAGCGGTGCAGTTGTTAGCTACACTGCATTATTATGCTGTTGGAAGTTTTATAGACGTGGTGGGTGATGGCCTGGGGCTCAGCAAATCTTCAGTCAGCAAAACTGTGACAGCAGTAACACCTTTGCTGTTACAGCTTATGAAGAACATCCTGATTTTCCCCCAAACTCCTGAAGAAATCCAGCTGGCCAATCAACAGTTCTACAGTAACTGACAACATCCCCAGAGTGATTGGCATCATCGATGGCACTCTTATCCCAGTGGCAAGCCCTGTGGTAAATGAGCCCTTGTATATTTGCAAGAACGGCTATCCAGCACCAGCGGATGTTCACTGACATTGTGGCAAAATGGCCTGGAAGCACACATGACTCTTTTGTGTGGGCCAATTCTGCAGTTTGCCAGGTGGCTGAAGAGGGTGGCTTTGGTGATAGCTGGCTGCTGGGAGACAGTGGATATCCTCTTCACCCTTACCTCCTGACACCTGTGGAGGATCCAGCCACCATTGCAGTTTAAACCATTTGTTTAATCTGACATAACTTCTGTTAAATATTTTGTTTATTTGCCAATATGCCCCCCCTGCCCCGCATACTTAAATGAACATGTAGCGTCTGGACCAATCAGACACACCATTTTTCATTTGATTTAACAAATCAATAGTTTCAAACTGAATTTGTAATAAAAAAAATATTTAAAGGCGAATTAGGTAAGACCTAAGCACCACAACTTTAACTCTTCCAAATCACTCAAAGTGGATGGTGAAATCTTCGAAAGGAATAGGGCATAGGGTCGAGAATAGAACACACCCCAAACTAACAACGACCTATGCCTCTAACCACAGGTGAAGAGCTGTCGTTCAAACGACACAAGTTTATGATGCAGTTTGCGAATGTTCGTTTTAACTATGGTTTCGGGAAACACCGAATCGTTGAACTATGTTGGTAATGACGGAACTTGCGACCATAGTTGGCTAACGATGCTTTTGGGAAACGCACCCCTGGTCGGTTCCTTCGGGAGAGCTGCGGGAATGCAGACCTCTGCTGTGTGTTCCCTAGTGGCTGGGAAAGTTGGATTCCCACATAATTAGTTACTTTAATTTTGATATATATTTAGACATCATTAAAGACATATTTTTATCAAAGTTATTATTTTATTTTGATTTGAAGTGTAAGTTTTTGCGTTAGTCATATCTGGACACAAAGAAAGCATTTTGTTGCTCATACTTGCTTCCTATAATAGTTTGGTCAGTCACATGAAAGTAATTAGAATCAATACCGAAATTTCAAAATATACAATTGAGTGTTAAATACCATAAACAGAGACATGGTCTGAAAAACTGACAAATTCAGATTTATGTAGCTTTATTGGTTTAGTAAAAAGGTTTTACAAAGTATATATATCTGATACTTTAGTGCTGAGCATTGTCACATAACATCATTTTGACTGTAATGTTTAACATCAGCTCAATGGTGTATGCAGATTATATGAAATTTCAATGTAAAGCCAAACCAATCCAATAATGTTAACACCAACTCACAATTCAGTATGAACACATGGGAGTCTAGCCTAATGGTACACAACTTATAAAGTATCATGTTTTAATTAAGTTGTTATATATTTATTTTTAATGTAGCCTATGTGTACATTAAAAGTACCATTCTGGCAGCGAGAATGATCCGGAACTAAATGAAGATTAATGTTTTGGCATATGATGTGTTTCACCAATCGGATAAGAGTAAATGGAGAGTCAGCGAGAGCCTCATGTGATTGGCTACAAGAAGGTGGTGGACCCGCCCTCCCCCTCACGCTTGCAAAACGCAGTTAATGAGAGAATCGTGCCAAAATTGTAAGCGCACAGAAAAGAAAGACGGAGCTGTACATATCGGTTTATTTTGGGAACTTTTTGCACCACATGCACAAGTCATTTAGACATTTGCAACAGTTTGTTTTTTTTACACATACAGATTGGTTCTATGCAGTAAATCCGTTTGCAGTTCTTTAAACTGTTGTTTTCGCTTGCAAATCACTGTTCACAGGCTTGCAGTACTTTTGACCGTATTTTAGCGAAAACAATGTGCCAAAAGTGTAAGTGCCGAAAAATGGAAGTCAGAAGAATGCAGATCATATTTATTTTGCGTTAGCATGAAGCTGCACTTTCACAATACTTGAATTACACTTACGAGTAACAGTAAAATGCTGCAAATAATTTTTTTCTTATGCTTGAAACGCGATTTACACCTTTACAAAGCTTCTCTTGCGCATGCAAATTTAATTTACGCTTACAGTCTTATGTACACTTCCACAACTCTTACCCTGCATATGCAAATGTTTTAGGCATTAAATTACCTTCAAACCCTCCCTCCCTTTCCAGTTGTGTTTGTCTTGGTGTGGAGGTGAGTGGAGATGAACAAAAGACTAAGCTACCTGTGTCTCGAATTTACAGCTAATTAGACAAAAGGCAATTATAGTTAATTTGTCTTGCTAACATCCCTGACTCATGCGAGCTACCATTGTAAGTTAGTTAGCTAAAGTTTAGCTAGGTTAGACCAGTGCGCGTTCTGTCTGTTCTCTTCCATCTTTATTTGACCCTCAAACTCTAGTTATAGCACTTGCATATCATTGCTCTTTTGTTGATTTTGGTTGCTTCCATTATCCTCATTTGTAAGTCGCTTTGGATAAAAGGGTCTGCTAAATGTCTTAATGTAAATGTTCTTTCACTGCATGATTCAGTTTATTAAAATGCATTTAGAATGATCACAAAATTCAAGATATGGGGGCAGAAATGTATATATCATTTCATATAGTTAATCAGTATCACGCAAAGACTGACGTTTTTTCCACCAAAAAGCAGCATGATTACAAATGTGATATTGATTTTATACAGCAGTTCAATAAA